CACTCCCTTGTCTTTGTCCATGTACCGAACTATATCCACTTAAAAATTTAAAGTAGCTGCCAACAAAAAATATACAATCTGTATAAACTACATTTTAAATCAAACAACAAAATAACATAAAAAAGGAAATTTATCTTAGCACTACACAAAGAAAATATCCACTTACCTTATTTACAAATTTACGCATCTTCAAAAACAAAATTCCTTAACAGCATCCAAACACTTCCTAAAATTATCTGAACTAGAATCTGTAGACTGGTGTCGCCACATAAATTCACAAAAATAAGAAAAAATATCCTCCGTTCGAAAATTTCCGATGTTCAACCATAAGCATTCCTTTCCTCCAAACAGGCCACTTACTAATGGCTGATAAGTAAAACTTCATTTACACACCAGTCAATTAATGCTTTTCTCCCTTTCATTCCAAATCCTACAGAAACTTCAAATTAATCTTACCACACTCAGCCAATTTACTGTGTAAACCACAAAATAACAACTTACTAATCCATCACACACAAGCCCTTACCCAAAATTCGACACTTTGCAAATTTTTTCCCATGTTTCAAATTCGCTGCAACCAATTACGTCATAATAAGGTTTCTATAGACCTTAACTACTCAGGTTGTCACAAATGAGACAACAATTTTGCGATAATACAAGGGGTACCCTAAGTCAACTCTAACCAATAATATAACCTGGAAGCCCTAATTTCGATTTGTTTTATTGTGTATTTTATATTTTGTAAAACTTAGGAATTTTTAATTAACAAACTCAATGATTTCAAAGCAAGCAGTGGCAACACTGTATGGAATAAAACATTTTTATCTCCGAGCGAGACGGTCTACCAGAAATTCTAAAGATATTTTACATATTTTCACAGGGGCAGTATGTTTGCAAGATATGTGTGTTTGTAAATGGAAAATGCCCCTTTAGGCGTAATATAAAATTTGAAAGTCTTCAGATTTTTTTATCTGTGTTTTATATTTAGTCCCTGGGATAATCAAAAGATGTCATAAATGAAAAAGTTTTAAGAAGTGCCACCTGAGAGCAGTTCAGCAATCATATAAGTTAATCTAGATATTTGTTAAATAGTTTTCACAAACTGATATACCTATGGTCAGGGTTAAAGTACATGTGTTGTCCTTGGCTGTTATAACAGTATTCATATATTCAAGAAAATGTTGTCAATAAAAGGATTTTGAAGTGCATCATACTGCTTAAATTATTTTGTTTATTTTTCAGAAACAAAGTTATCGCAAGTTCACAAAATGGAAAGTTATTTCACCTTAAAAAAAAAATTGATTACTTAGTTTTCTCTCACCATTACATGAAAAGGAAAATAGGTATTATTCCGTTTTGATGACCGTAAAAAAAATTGCAGCGAAAATATATGCACAAAAGCGCCAAATCTAGCAAACGCGCCCATTTAACAGTGTGTCAAATCTAGCGTATGCGCTGATTTCAGATTGCGTAAGTTCATATAGTTCTATATTTCTTAAGACGACATTGAAATACTAGTTTAATTTTTAAATCCTTTTTTTATTTTAAATCCTTTTTTGATATCCTATGGATTGAACAATTTGGGAATTGTTCATGACGAAAAGTCTGCAATAGAATTTTGAGGAAAGTGCTGAATCAACCACTGCTTGACACGTTTTTAAGAATTGCATATACTCGGTATCTATGTATACAGTGACCTATTTTCACTTAAAAAGTAAAAGAAAATTGACAAAAATCCAGTTGTTTCTACCCGTGTAAAAAGCGGAAAACAAATAAGTGGGCGATTCTGCACTTTAAACCGAGAATTTTTTTTCAAAGAAATATGCCTCATTCATTATAGAAAATTATGTTTGAACAACCGACGAGATGAAACTATGCTGTACCGATAACTCGGTAGCAAAATAGCGAAGCAGGCATCCATTCAGTTATATTTAGTAATTTTTATATAAATTATAATAATGATCTGAAATAGTTATTTACTCTTATGCTTCCATTCCATGTTTAGCCTTTTTTATATAAATTATAATAATAAAAAAGTATTACATGAAATTAACCTTTCATCTAAATTAAAACATCAATCTTAGATAGTTATTCACTATCATACTTCCCTTCTTGCATTAGGGTTACCGCAATTATTTTTGGCAGCTCTGACATCAACAATAGTTTGACATCAACAATAGTTTGGCGAGGGCCGTAAAAAATCGCCAAACTATTGTTGATATATATATATATATATATACATAATTTCCAGTAGTTTTAATAAATTTCGGTTAATCTTTGGATTATGGTAACTTGGCAATTTTTTGGCGAAAATTTGGTGACCAACCCTGCTACAGCAACCTGCTAGTTTTTGTTTGGACGCCATTTTGTTTTCACGAACTAAAGGTATTTTTTTTCATTGGCTTTAGTGTAGAATTGGGTGCCCCTTCGATTGGCGACATTTTGTTTTAAATTTTGGCGATGAAACATCACTTCTGGTTACCACGACAGTTTTAACTTTGTTTTAGCTTGCCGATTCTATTTAAATGAAAATAGAATGATGCACGGACATAATTAATGCAGTGCGCAATGCCTAGTTTGTGCAATTCTAAGATTTTTTTTAAGTAAAAACAGATCGATGTGTACATGGACACAGATCTTATGCAATTCTTCGACTTCTTATTTTGATTTGTGTAGCGGCCATCTTGAAATTGTGACTTCCTGGCGCCGATCTTGACGTCAAAAAAGAATCGCCAATAAACAAGGGGCACCCAATTGTAAGCTTTTACCTTCACATTTTTTTTCCAACAATCTGCTAGCCTAATTACGCTTTATACTAGAACTTTTATGGAACAAAAGTGCTTAATCATGACGAAGATTAGGTGCGAAATTTTGAGAAAGTGCAGAATCGCGAACTGCTTGCCGCGTTTTTAAGAATTGCACATACATGGTATCCCATGTCCACGTCGACCTATTTTTACTTAAAAAAAAAATCCCAGAATTGCACAAAAATGGCATTGCACACACTCTTGACTTTATCCATGTACACTGCTGAAGTCCTAGCTAGTAATTTTTATCGCCTTACCAAAATGTCGCCAATCTACCTGTTACCATATTCCAAAGATTAGCCTAAATATCTAGTATATATAGATTTCTTACCAAAACAGAAACGATGTTTCCCAAACTTCTTTTTATATGCATTGGACATATGGGATTGTTCTACTTGGTATGTCCAAGGTTTGACTAAAAATGTTTGATTTTTCATTTCACCTTTTAACAATGCTGTGGAACCCTACACTGGCTTTGTGAATGTTATATACTGACACATTTGATACTGGAGTTGGATAGCCATGATGTTCAAGACTTGTTTACCACAAATGGAAATACTAATACATTCTTCATGACAGGAAACAAGAATGACATTTCTGGCAGAGCTGCAATTCATAACTGCATTAAATTTAGAAACAGCCAATTTTAACACAACACACATATAACTTACAGTACATATATATATATATATCAGATGAAACATTATACATCTTTTACAGTTTCAGTTTTTGAAATTCTTATCTAGATAACACGTCATTATGCAGCAGATATAAATACTGAATACTAATTATCAGGTAAAAATATCTTGAAAAATATTTGATCTTGTAGAAATAAATGAATGGTTTATAAAATCATTTTCATCAAATGAGAATTTATGCAACTCTCACAGGGTCATCAGTAGCTTTTATGCCATTCAGATTTGCCTCTTTTGCTGTACCTAAATTCTCCCAATTTATGAGGAAAATGCAGACTTGACTTCACATTATGAGGTTTCTTAACTGCACAGTCAAATGCTTACTGCAAGATTCAGTAAATTTGTTTTTCTAATTGAAGCTTAAAAGACAGGAGGTTTATCTTCTGCATAGATAAGAGAGAATTCTCCATCACACTAAACAACTTTTTACATACTTAATCATAATACAGTCAAAAGTCGTTAATTCGGACATCCATAATCCGGACATGAAAGCTACAAACTTTCTGCGCATTCGTCGCATTAATGCATGCTCGTAAGACCTTTACGTCTGCGAATATAGGTCTGCACATGCGCAAAATACGTTTACGAATGCATGTTTAATGTATAACGAACGGTATAAGGTAAAAATTATCTAATTCAGTTAATGTTGCAGATTGCGTTGTTCCTTAATCTTCGAACTGGATCCGGCTTATTATTTTTTGCAGACTGTTAGAGCAATTTTATAAAAGTCAGCTTGAACTTTCGATTATGTCAAATAGAATTTCTGATATACATTTACTAATATGTAAAAGATATACAAAGCGAAAGTATGTTTCGAAGTCCATTAAACAAACAGTGGAATTGCTGCAAAAAATGGATAAAGGCATATCCCATGTTTATTTAACCATTCCGAAATCCGTTTACCAATTTCACGCTGCTCTGCGGCGGGGGAGGGGGGACGCCTCGGCGCGCGATGAATTGGAAGTTGATCTGTCAGCACTATCCTCATCTTCAGGGCAGATGTTTTTATTTTATTTGGCTTATAATTCCTTACTAAATGTAGTATTTTATCTCGATGTACTTCATCTTTGATATGATTAAATCAAATTCCTCGTCATTATAATTCGCTTCCGATATCGAAGAAAGTGACACAGATGTTATTGAAAACGAAAAAATTTCGATTGACAAATTAGTCGGTATTCTCGATGCAGCAATTATAGGACTTGAACAGCAGAACTTTGTAACTGAACAAGAAATTATGTCTGTTTATAGAATTAAAGAGAAAGTATTATCACATAAAAAATGAAGCAACTTAAACAACTTAATAATAATAATATGCATTGCATGAATAAGCATATGCATTGAAAGAAATGTTTATTAATAAAGTAAACAAATAAATATTAAGCTTTTTCTTTTTGTAAATTTTGATACCCTTTAGATCATAATTGTTCTTTATTTCATTAATTATGGTTTCAAATTTTTAATTTTATAATTTCTGTATGCCATCTTACCAGATTTAAACTGATGATCAAAATCCGAAAAAATCGATAATCCGGAATCGCCGAAGTCCCGACGAGTCCGGATTAACGACTTCTGACTGTATTTGCTTCCTATGTTGATAGCCATATTTAAATCTTTATGAAAATGAAAGAATGTTTCTCACACACAGATTTTCTCTCCAATGTGAAAAAAAGCATATGTTTCTTAAATTACCCATTTCAGTAAGCATTTTCTTACATACCTAAGAAACATAAAGTTTCTTTCTTGTGTAAATGCACATATGCACGTTTAAATCCTTCTTTTTTTTGATTACTTCATTTTTTACATACTTCACACATATGTGGTTTCTCTCCTGTGTGAATAAGCATATGCAGATTTAAATTACTTTTTAGACTAAATGATTTCTTACAAACTTCACACATATGAGGTTTCTCTCTTCTGTGAATGCACATATACACACATAAATAACTTTTTATGTTAAATGAGTTCTTACATACCCTCACATATATGAATTTTATCTGTGTAAATAAGCATATGGTTGTTTAAACTACCCTTTTCACTAAACATCTTCTTACAAACTTTACACGTATATGGTTTCTATCCAGAGTGAATACGCATATGCGCATTTAAATTCCTTTTTAGATTAAATGATTTTTTACAAACTTCACAAACATGAGGTTTCTCTCCTGTGTGAATAAGCATATGTCCGTTCAAACTACTTTTTTCACTAAACGTTTTCTTACAAACTTCACACGTATGTGGTTTCTCTCCTGTGTGAATGCGCATATGCACATTTAAAGCACTTTTGTGACTAAATGATTTCTTACATACTTCACAGAGATGTGGTTTCTCTCCTGTGTGAACGCGCATATGCACATTTAAAGCATTTTTGCGATTAAATGATTTCTTACATACTTCACAGAGATGTGGTTTCTCTCCTGTGTGAATGCGCATGTGCATATTTAAAGCACTTTTGTGATTAAATGATTTCTTACATACTTCACAGAGATGTGCTTTCTCTCCTGTGTGAATAAGCATATGTGCATTTAAATTACTTTTTATATTAAAAGATTTCTTACATAATTCACAGATATGAGGTTTCTTTCCTGTGTGAGTAAGCAAATGTGCATTTAATTTACTTTTTCGATTAAAAGTTTTCTTACATAATTCACACATATGAGGCTTCTCTCCTGTGTGAATCAGCAAATGCGCATTTAAATTACTTTTTAGATTAAAAGATTTCTTACATAATTCACACATATGAGGTTTCTCTCCTGTGTGAATGCACATATGCACATTTAAAGCACTTTTGTGATTAAATGATTTCTTACATACTTCACAGAGATGTGGTTCCTTTCTTGTGTGAACGCGCATATGCGCATTTAAATTACTTTTTATATTAAATGATTTCTTACATACTTCACACATATGAGGCTTCTCTCCTGTGTGAATAAGCATATGGTTGTTTAAACTACCCTTTTTACTAAATGTCTTCTTACAAACTTCACACATATGTGGTTTCTCTCCTGTGTGAATAAGCAAATGAGCATTTAAATTACTTTTTACATTAAATGATTTCTTACATATTTCGCACATATAAAACTTCTCTCCTGTGTGAATAAGAAAATGTGCATTTAAATGACTCATTTCACTAAATGATTTCTTACATATTTCACACATATAAAATTTCTCTCCTGTCTGAATAAGCATATGGTTGTTTAAACTACACTTTTTACTAAACGTCTTCTTACAAACTTCACACATATGTGGTTTCTCTCCTGTGTGAATGCGCATATGCACATTTAAAGCACTTTTGTGACTAAACGATTTCTTACATACTTCACACACATGAGGTTTCTCTCCTGTGTGAATGCGCATATGCACGTTTAAAGAACTTTTTTGATTAAATGATTTCTTACATACATCACACATATGAGGTTTGTCTCCTATGTGAACACACATATACATGTTTAAAGCACTTTTTTGAGTAAATAATTTCTTGCTTACTTCAGACATATGATGTTTCTCTCCTGTCTGAATCATATGCCTCTTTAAATGACTTTCTATGACTTCTTGCATGCTTCATATATAGGAGATTTCTCTCCTGTTTGAATGCTCATGTTCCAAAAAATAAATAAATAAATAAAAAATAGAGGAAATAATACAGTACAGTCCAATCACAAACATTTTCCTGCCCGGAATTGAGGCATGCATCAAACTCTAAACGAAGATTCGAATCTTTCACTTAAATTCAGATTTATTAATCTTTACATCTGAAACCAAACCAAAGCTACACCTCAAAACTAATTCATAATATACAGAACACTGCCACATAAAAAAAACTTAAACATATAAATAAAATCTCTAAAATTACTTCTCATTCGAGAGTGAAGTCATATTTCATGGACAGACAGGGAAGCGACTAAATTTCAACTCGGCAGGGAAATTTTATTCTTCAAAAATATACATCATGTGCGACGTCAAAATTGTCGTGTTTAGCTTTACACCTAAGGATTGTCTGCCATTTTCGGAGTTTGTACAATTATGTACAGCAAACGCGAATTTGTACAGGTCATTCGGTCCTGATCCTTGGTGGATGAAGGTGCTTGCTATGAGCCAGACGGACGAAGTTCCTTTGCCTAACGGCGATTCTGATAACCGCATGGACGAAAGCGTTCCTGCGGATGCTAACCCTACGGATAACGACTGCAATGGAGTGCCTAGTAATACTGTTTTACAGCGGAATTACCCCTGGAATTTATGCGCTCCAGAATTCTGGATATAGACATACAAATTGTCCAAATTAAAAGTGCTGTCATACAGACCAAGTAGACAGTTGTCTTGTTTTGCACCCGCTAAGTCTTTCTGCCCCAATGGGCGAAAAATCAAGCTTAGGTGTGAACGAGAGGTATATAGAAAGGGGTAAGGCTCCTATATACCTTAGGTTTAGAGGAGCCTTAGAAAGGGGCAATTTCGTATTTCAGAGGAGAGTAAAAAGGAACTTGGTACATTTCGTACGAGTTCAAAAGCCCAGGAAGAAAAGATGGGGCAAAATACAATTTAAAATAAATGGCCCCAAAATTAAAGAGGGAAAAAAAAAGGGCCTATAGAAAGAAAAGGAAAAGGAGTAGAAAATGTCCTAAAATATTGTTTATTGATTTAAAAGCACTTATTTATATAAATTTGATTTAGTTTAGATGAAAGAAGGGTACTTATCTTAAAATTCTAGGCTTTCGTAGTATATCCTCACATTGTCCGCTAACATCGGAGCGGAAATTCTTTGGAATAGGTATATGTTTTGTAAAAAAAACACTATTTTAAAGTAATTTAATTGATAATCACTAAAGGGAAAGGAATTTTTTTCACTTTTTTACGAAGCGTCGCGAACGTGCAGCCGCTTGCCTCGGTGATCGCAGCGCCCTTCCCTAAAAGTGTTGTGAAGACTTATCGTCAACAAAGGCCCGTTACGGATGTGCCGAGGCAAAGCCGAGGCAGATATGTTACGATGTAAGTGCGGTTTGGCTATTACGGCAGGCATTCTTAACCTTAATATCTCTGCTAGGAATAAGGAGAAAATTAATGCTAACTCTAATAGTAAAACTGTTAAACGTAAATCAAATGTTGAAGGCTCTATTGATGTAGTTGATAGTGAGAGATTCAGAATGCCGAATAAAACGGCAAACTTTTGAACTCTTTTAACTCTTTTGCCGAATAAAACGGCAAAAGAGTTAATAGTTGGAAAAGCTAAAACTATTATTGATGTGCAAAATAAATTTTCTGTTTTAAAAGATAGTGAACATGATGTAGAAATTTCTGATAGCACTGGCAATGCATCTCAGGATGAGGAAATTCAGCATAATATTACTGCCCCCCCCCAAATTTCTAACGTTCCACCAATCATGGTCAATCGTGGGCAGCTAAAATTTGGTGAATTTTTAAAGCAGCTTACTGCTCAAACTAAAGCAGAATTTCTAGGTAGAATAAATGGAGAGTTTCTCAAAGTACGAGTATTCCCGCAAACGCTTGATGATCACAGGACTTTAACTACCCTCTTCAAGGAAAAAGCTGTGGAGCACTATATTATAAATAAAAAATATAAACGCCCAATAAAGGTAATTTTGAGAGGACTACCTTCGAATTCCGATAAGCAAGAAATTTCTCAGGCAATTGCAGATAGAGAATTTACAGTGCAGAAAGTAGCACAACTCACTAAACATCGCACAAGAGCGCTAATGCCTTTATTTCTTATTACGCTGATGCAAACTGCCAATGTAGAGGATATTTTCCAACTAAGGGATTTAATGCTCTATATTGTATCCGTGGAAAAATATGTGTCAAAAACTAAAATCCTGCAGTGCCATAACTGCCAAAAGTGGCATCACTCGTCAGAAAATTGCTTTTTTTAGCCGCGCTGTGTTGAGTATGCGGAAAATCATAGATCCTCAGAATGCCCGATTAAGGGCAGAACAGAAGAACCGAAGTGTGTGAACTGCTCTGGAAAACACCCGTCTTCCTATCGTGGGTGCACTGCATTCCCAAAAAATAAACCTGCAAACGAAAAGAAAAGTACAGTGAAACCTGGACTTAGCTTCGAACAGGCAAATGCGGTCAAACTGTCATGAACAAATTGATGATAAGGTAGAGGACAAAAGTCCTAAAAATCCCTCAAATGCTGAATTTCCCCAGCTTGTTAATAAAAATGCAAATGTGAATAATAAACAAAATGATAACTTCTTTAATGCCTACTTAAAAAATTCTAGCAATTCTGAGATTTTTTAATCCTTTAAATGTTTAAAAGAAATTCATGGAATATTTGGACATAATAACATCAATAAAATGACTCAGATATTTAAGAAATATGTGCCAAAATTAAAAGCTCATACTGATAATGTTGATAGACTTTTTGTATATTTTGAAATGTTGTCTGAAATTAATGATTAGTGAAATTAATTCTGTGGAAAATATCTCAATAGTTACATGGAACCCAAATGGGTTGTCCACTAAATTTAATGAACTTGGGGATTTTGTAAAGGAGTACTCCCCAGATATTATTTTTCTACAAGAAATCATGTTTAGCCCACAACAAAGTCTCAGAACCTGCAACTACGAGAGTTGTAGAATTGACAGACCAAGGAGACCTGGCAGAATTTCTGGTGAAATTATGATTTTAATCAAGCACTCCATTGTGCACTTCGAAATTACACTACCACAGCTTTCGGCTATTGAGGCTTTAGCTATGACAATCATAGCACACACTCAACGAACAATCACTTTCGTCTCCATCTATCTACCCGCAGCAAGAGCACAAAAGGATGTTTTTGGCGATTTAGAGGCTATATCCAAGTTAAACACACGTATTACTATCGGTGGAAACTTTAGTGCACAACACAGAAAATGGAACTGCAATAAATGTAGCAAATACGGATACATAGTAAAAAATTTCGCCAGTAAGGCCAACTTACAAATTGCAGCTCCGACGCACTCAACACGCTATAACCCTGATAATGCAAGCATCATTGACTTCTTCCAACTAAAGAATATCAATACTCCCACTAAAACTGAGAGCTTATGTGAATTGTCATCTGATCGCAATCCCGTAATTATGGAAGTTAACATCAGTGATTATAGCACACCACACCAAAGAGCCCTTGTTACTAACTGGGTAAACTATATCAAAGCTCTAAACAACACACAGTACACATAACCAACGGCACAGAGTGAGGATGGGTTAGACGCAGTAGTAGAAAATTTCACTAATACCCTCAAAATGCATTAAAAAATAATAGCAAGGAAGTAACATTAGAACAGAGAGCAAGATATCCTGAAATCAGAAAATTAGTTAAAGAGAGAAATCGTGCAAGGAAAAGATGGCAGAGAAGTCGCTGCCCATTGGATAAAAGAATCATGAATGACTTACACCAGAAAGTCAGGCAATACACTAAACTTCATGCACAAAACGAGTGGTTTGGATATTTGGAAAGCCTTTCAAGTGATGATAATTCTATCTGGAAGGCAGTTTCCAAATATAAAAGGTGCTACACTAATATTCCGCCCCTTAACGGCCCAAATGGAATCGCATACACAGAAACTGATAACGCTGGGTCACTAGCTGATAACTATGTTACTCAGTTTCGCATTAACAACATTTCAGACCCAGACTACACGAACAATTTATATTTTTCACAACCACACACGGACAACATTCGTCTAGCAAAGCCGTCTGAAGTAATTCGATATATCGAGAAAAGGAAAATCAAGAAAAGCCCTGGAATCGATGGAGTGAGCAATAAAATGATACGTGAAATGAGTCACGTGATGCTCTTCAAATTTACTAGAATAATCAACCTGATCCTAACACTTGGTTACTTTCCGAAGAGCTGGAAAACTGACGTGATAGTGCCAATTCAGAAGCCATCTGAACCAGCTAATGACCCAACCTCCTACAGACCTGTGAGTTTGCTTTCCACATTAAGCAGAATAGCTGAAGCTGCCATCTACGACCGAATCCTGGAGCACATCAATATTAACAAGATACTCATACCGCAACAACATGGATTTAGAAGAAAACATTCTACAGTGCACCAGCTGTACAGAGTGACAGAGTACATAGCAGAAGGTTTCAAAGAGAGCACTGGAGCTCTTTTTCTTGATATATCGAAGGCATTCGACTGCATTTGGCTAGACGGTTTACTTTACAAACTTATTTCCCTGGGTTTCCCAGGGTACATCATAAACATCGCTAAATCTTATCTCTATGAGAGGCACTTTGTCTTTCGTTATAAAAATACATTCTCTACTCAGAGAAACATACGTGCAGGGTCCCTCAGGGGTCTCTGACAGGTCCTATTTACTTTTTATTATATGCGAACGACATACCACATACCCCATACACTACTCTTGCCATGTATGCTGACGATACGGCGATCCTTGCAAAAAATGCATCCCTAAACCACGTAGTACAAGTATTACAAATACACATACAACACACTTCAAGACTGTAAAGACATTAGGTTATTTCGAAGCAAGAGACATGATTAATGAGCAAGGCTCTCAACGGTACTCGAAACATGTACCTCTCGATTACACGCCGAGCGTGCTGACCACTACACCACGAAGGCGTGCCAAGAAGGCCGGAGAAACACCTTATAAAGTTACAAACTTTTTCTGGCTTAGATAAATATTTAAGAGCATAGTACACCGAATTTTTCACATTCATAATACTGATACGTAAGTATATGAATTAACTTGAATGTATCGTAATACCGATACATTCATGTTACTTCAGCTTTAAATTGTCAGCAAGCACATTGCAGCACTCTTTCCTCTACATGACCTCGAACCCCAGTGGATATGTGCCGTGTACCAACAGGAACACAGAATGAACCTTTAACGGTATTATGTCAAATTTGATTAACTTTTATTTCATTTCATGTGGTAATAATTTTTTATATGTAATATGTTACAGAATGAAACATTTTAAAACTTATGAATCATGTAATATCTCTATATTTATTAATTTCATTGTACTATACCTCACTGTATGCCTCCCTCTTGAATTGCTCTAGTAATTTAATTGATTTGATTAAAAAACTGCACCAAATCACAAGGCAAAAATAAAATCCAAATATTGTAATCTGTTTTAGCAGAGTGAATGTACCAAATAAACAGATAATTCACCCATTTAAAATTTTCATTCAACTCATTTAAGAAATGAAATATACGCTCTTAAGTTTGTGTATACGATAATTTTAATATTGCAATCCTCATACCTTACCTGATTTCACAAAGTAATTTCAATCTGAAGTATACATGACTAATCATAATTTATCAACAAGTTCATATAAAAGAAAA